CCCGCCCCTCTCCCTCTGCCCCCGCCTCTCTCCCTCTACCTCTCCCCCCCGGCCCCGCGGCGGCCCCGGCTCCTCTGCGGTGTCTCCCGGCGAAGCGCGTCCTGCCCAGCGGCGTTATTGGAGCTGACACTCGTTCACCTTGACCCAAAACGCCCCTGCCGCCACGGCCTTCAGAGACTTTTATGTTGCCTCTTAAACTCTTGAGAATAGAGCCTGTGCTCTTTTCTCGGCTTCTGTATTTCTAGTCTGACCTCTCCTGTGAAGCCCGGTGGCCTCCTCGGCTCCCGAGCAGGTTGCTCAGGTCTTTGCTGGGTTAGCAGAGGGGTGCTGGGGGGGGGGCTCCTGCTTCTGCACCTTGTGTCAGTGTTACCAAATCCAGGAGTGTGACCCTGCCTTTGCACTGTCTGACTTTGTTTCACAGGTGAGCTACTGTGGAAGCTCCAGTAGATACATTTGCCTCTTCTGACCAAAAATGTAGATCCAAGATGTGTGCCAGTATTGTGTTCTGGAGTTGCTAGTAGAAGGCCTAGTTTAGTTAGCTCAAAGCATGTCCCCTTAGGGGATGGCAGCTAGCTATCAGAAACCTCTCTTCTAAGCCTGTCTTCTTGAGTTTAAGACATCAAATTAACTTGGAAGCATCAGAGCATTGTATATCATACACTAAATTATTTGGCAGAACAAGGATCTTGTCTGCAGGAGCTGTGTCCATCTGCCCAGCCAGAATGCCTCTCATGTATTAGTGAGGTTGTCCCTACAGTGAGACAGCTTTTACTGCTGCTGGTGTCGAGTTCTGTTTAATGATGCTCCATATGCTGATTTTTCTGAAGACTTTAAACATTTCCAAGAACTTAAAAACCACAAAACCTGCTGTGTGACAAGTTGAGGTTCGAGTGGGTAGGAGAAGGGGCTGGCTTGCAGCACGCCCTGAGGTGTCCCCTGTGGCCTGTGGCAGGAAGGTGAAGGCGCACTGCGCGGAGCCCTTCACGCAGTACTGGACGTGCATTGACTACACCAACCTGCAGGAGTTCCGCCGGTGCCGCAAGCAGCAGGCTCGATTCGATGACTGTGTGCTGGAGAAGCTGGGCTGGGTGAGGCCTGACCTGGGCGAGCTCTCTAAGGTAACTTCAAACCTTTCTCCGTGGAGAGCCAGAGGCTTCTCTCCCTCCTGACAGGCTTTTTTTCCAGACTGGGTCTCAGCTCTTCTCCCAGTCAGAAGGTCGTTCGTGAACTCAACACTGGAAGCTTGTGGCCATAATAAAGTCAAGACTCTGTCAGTGTTCTCCAGGGTTGCTTTACCAAATGACTTAAACTTGCTCTAGACAATGAAACTTAATACTGAGTTCTTTGCTTTTTCTGGTGCAAAAACCTATCCTTTCAGAGTGAAACTCTCACATGTGTAGAACTGCTCTCTAGTTGTGGGTGAAGTGCCCTTCCCCTCCCTTTTTTCACAAATGTGTTGGAGATAAGGGCTCTCATTAGATGGAATAATGTGTCCTTAGTGTTGTTTGGTACCTCTGGGTAGTCCTACCTTTAAATTCTGACTCAGTCTAGCTTTTCTATGAACTGCTGGGAGAAGCTGTATCATTCCTTCTTTTTTCTTTCCAGGTTACGAAAGTGAAGACAGACCGTCCTATTCCTGAGAATCCCTATCACTCTAGACCTAGGCCAGAGCCAAATCCACCCATTGAAGGAGAGCTGAAGCCTTCTGAGTTTGGCAGCAGGATGTTTTTCTGGACCTGGTGAGGCAGGCAGGCTGTGCTGGGGCTCAGGCACAGCGATGGATCGCTTGCAGATGTAAATTGTCCAGTGTGTGCTGGGTATAACTTTAATGATTAAAGAACCCTAAACTGTTCCATGGCTCTGTAGACTTCTTTAAACCTACTTGCACATCACAGTGATTAAAAAAATAATTGTATTTCTTTCCCTGTTTTGCACAGTACTCTCTGCAGTCAGGTAGTCCTTGGGGCTCTCCCAGCAGTAGTAGTGGCAGCCTCTGGACAGCAGCTGCCAGGTTTGTCAGAGGTGTATCACTGTGGCCTGGGTCTTTGACTAGAGCTTCAATCAATCAAAACCCAGCGTGAGTCTTATTTACTTCCTGAGAACACTTGCCACTGGGATGAGGAAACTGAGAACAAACAAGTTGTTCATGTCTTCCCTTAGTCTCAAAGCTTGATCATTGTGCTTTTTTCCCCAAGGGACTCGTCCTGTATAGGTTTAACCAAAAATCTGTCTTGGAGCAAGGGTTTAGTTGAGCCTGTGGCTTTTGCTGTGTATAAGGTCAAGACTGAAGCAGAGATCCTTGTTCTGCTTATCAGCTGCTCATTCCTCATGCTGCTGGGTTAGTGGCTTCCAGTTTTATTTTTTGTTGGGAGAACATAGCCTACTTCATCAGAAAAATCACCCTGTTTCCAACACCTTTAAGCAAAAATAATCTAAAGGATCTTCCTGTCCCATTGAGCAGTGTGAGAAGGTGGCTGGTCTTCTGTTGCAACGCCCTGCCTTGAGGGGTGTGGTGCAGATCTTCCCATTGTTTCACTGTGATAGGCTTTTTGACAGTGAAGCAGCTTTCTTTTAGATATTGTAGAAAAGATAAATTAAAGTTGTGTGTTTCATAGGAATTAGAATAGTTTTTCATCCACTTCTACCCGTTAGGAGCATTATTACAAAGGTCAGAAAAACCCAACTGAACTTGTTTTCACAAAGCCAGGTGCAGTTTAACTCACTCCAGGCCAGATTTTGTGGCCTGAACCATAGCAAAGACATGAGTAGTGCTTTGCTCCTTGAGTAGCTTGGATGTTAGTAGGATCTGAAGATTTACCATTGCCTCTTTTGGGGTAGGATTAAACTGTAATGGGTTTGTAGCTGCAGCATGTGTTTCTGATCCGTGGAGCTAGAGGGAAAATTGTATAACATTAATCTAAAAATAGCTCCAGCACTGTGTGGCTCGTGGCTCTTGCTGCTTTCTGCCTGGGTGTGTGGACTGGAACTCAAAGCAGGTGCTGTGGCACACGTCTTTGCATTTTAACATGCAGCTCCCTGTCGTGTGTGCACCTTCACAGTTCCCCCTGCAGATCCCTGCCAGCATTTCAGGCAGCCATGGACTGCTGAAGAATGAGGAACCCTTTTCTGCAGAGGTGGAAACTGGGACGAGCTTGAGGTCTAATGACATTCAGCTGAGTGAGGGAAATGAGGTTTGGCTGAGTAGAGGAGAAGTTGTTCTGGGATGTTAACACGTGTCACATCTGATCTTTTGTTGCTGACCTGCTCCAATAGTTAGGCAACCTTGCAGAAAGACTTTTTGGATGTTACTTAATGATGTTTTGCTAATAACTTACTATTGTCAGCATAATGTATGAAACCTCGCAGTGCTGAACATCTGCTTTTGAATAAACAGGCTTGGGCATTCCAGTAGTCAGCCCCTAATCATAAAGAAACAGTGCTTTTCCCATTAAATTGCTTCTGAAAAGAATGATCTGCATGAATAGGGGGCCATTTTTTTTTAAACAGCTTTTTACAAACCCCACCCCTGAGTTGCCTAGTGCTGTAAGCAAAAAAGAAAAAAACAGTGATTTATGCTGGAGCCTCAAAGGTTTGAGTTTGTTGATCTGTTTCATGACAGCTGAATGTACTACCTCTGGGGTTTGAGGTGGCTGATGTGGTGATGAGGCACTGGCTGTGTTTAAAAGTCAGAATTAAGGATCTGCTCGCCTGGATTCCCTCTGCAGCTTCAAGTGGGAGTGGGCAGGTGAATGTACAAAAGAGAACCGCAGGGGAGGACGGTGAAGTGGTAAAGTCAAGTAGAATTCAGCCGTACTGTGAGTACTCCTTTCATTAACCTCTGAGATAATTGCTTGTTGTCTTTATCTCCTGGCTGAATCTGCAAAAAAGTGTTGCCAGAGGCCTGCTTCTTGGTGCTTTGGACAGGGCCTGTATGTAGCTGTCGCTGTTCAAAATCGTGTGGCTTTACTCAGCTAGAGATGCCCCCTTCAGAGCTGTAATGTGTTCTTGGAAACTTTAGAACAAGTGAATGTCAAGACTGAGTAAAGACCATAGAAGTATTTTTGAGGAATGTGTCTTGACGTTTTTGTGGCAGATGGAGAGCAGACGCAGACAGATCCCACACAGATATTTTACTGGTGATGTGAGAAGTGGTATTTGTTCTGTTGCAGGCTCTTCGCTCTGTCAGGGTTCTAATCACGTGTCCAATTAACACAATGCCAGGCCAGTGTCGTGGTGGCTCACCACACCATGGGTTAGTGTGGGCAGAACCTGTTCATTCTTTCAGATAATCAATGGGAAGAGTAAAATCCTCGTGTGGTTTCTGATCTCGGTAGGGTAGGAGTGTGTGTCTCTGGAGCAGCAGAATCCTGTGGTGCTGACACAGCAGCATCCTTCTGAAGAGAACGTCCCCCTCCAAGACACTGGGCAGTGTGGCATGCCCTGGTCTCAAATGGTTCTGCTTAACTCCCATGGCAAGAGGGCTAGAGAAGGTGTATGGTTACCCCAAAAGGCCAGGAGTCCACCTCTGCTTGTAGCCACCAAACCTGAGCAAGTGGTGGCAAGCAATTGGTTTTACTCAGCTGCCTTGCCAGTTGTGTAATTCTGTGGCATGTCATATTATGTGTATTATCATCCCTGATAGAAAAGAGACTTCTGGGAATCTGTTGAGGTGGAATCAACCTCTCAAGTGTTTGTAGCTGAGACTGGATAGAGCAAATGTTGTTCTCATACTCCTCTTCCTCTGCCTTCAATTGCAATATGGTTCTGGAATGGGTAAACAAGATAGATCCAACTCCCTCTCCTTTTATAAGGCAAGATAAACCTGCACCATGATACGAAGGATTCATAATTTTTATGAACTTTTATCTTCAGGATAAGGATACTCCTATAAAAAGCCAGAGAAGAAATTAGGAGCTCAGGATAACTTTGTAAAATCCTTGTGCAAGCTTGTGTGCTCTTGTAGAAACGTTTGGAAGCTGGGATCTATCTGGTACTAACAGGAGATTCAAGACTCCCTCTTGTGGCGGCATTCAGCGGACCTGTGGCGTCGGTGTGAACATTCTGCCGTCACCAAAGTCCGAACCCTGCTTCAGGTCTTTTTTTAGACTTGATTAGGTCTTTTAACCTAACAAAACCTTTTGCTTAGGTACAAAATTCACTGGAACATTGCCTCAACTTGAGTTTTGCTTTGTGTGAAAACTCCTGCACTGAGCATGAAGTGAGAAGAGGAAGAAAAATGATTTGAAAACGTTCTAATCCCCTCAATCACGTCTGGTGAGACTGAAGGAAGTTAAGGCAGAGCCCAAGTAGATGGAGGTGGTTGGGAAACCCCAGCGTAGATGGTACTTGCTTCTGTGAATGCAGGAAGGGGGTGTCCCTGGTGCTGCAGGGGACAGGATGGCTCTGGACCTGCAGGGCCAGTGCCAGCAGCGTGTGACAGGCAAACACGGGGTACAGGCTAACTGTGATATTTAACTTTGTGTAAAAGCATGTTATTTGTTTTTATCAGGAATAGGCGTGACCTTACCAAATGGTTTTAATAACACACCCTTGCTCTGCAGTTAATAGTTCTGTGGTTTATCATGTGAGCCCTTCTAGCTGGGGACTTGATCCGAGTCTGTTCTAAGACACTTCATGCGTGGTTGCGTGTGGTACAAATAATACTTTGGCAAAGGGAGAAGATCTGAGAAAACACAGAACGGCAACCTAGGAGCAAGAAGTCTGTGGTGTTACTGTGGATATTAAGGCAGTAAATCAGCCCAGCAGGCAGAAGCAGATGCAGGTCAGCGGCGCTGCTCGCTCGGCGGTGCAGGGGTTGTTCCTGGCTTGGGTTTCCTTCTGTCCAACACCAAGTTTCTCCACTCCCTGACACGTGCTGGAAAAGATTTGTCAAGCTGAAGGCACGGGCTCCTCTTGGGCACGATGTCTGTGCTTGAGGGGCAGGATGCAGTGAGTGCAGGCGATGAGGAGAGCGGTGCTGCCTGCTTGCTCCAGGGCTGGCTAGCTGAGAGCTGCTCTGGGCAACCACAGGGCTGGGACTGAAGCAGAAGCTGCTGGGACATGAAGAGCTTTGCTGTACCTGGCTGGATCCAGGAATAAGGGCTCCAAGAAAAGACACGAGAGCATTTATAAGGTGCAAGCTGTTCTGTCTTGCCTGCACCCCAAGCATCTCCCGTCGCCGCTGCCTGTGAACAGCGCGGGTGGCGCTTGCCCCGCGCAGATGCCTGAACAAAAGGATCCTGACCTGCCTGCTCCTGGGCTCTGGGCTGGGCTGGCAAACGCCGGCGTTGCAGTGAGCCCTTGGGTCACGCTGTGTTCTGCAGCACAAAATGGCGAACGGCTGTTGCTGTTTTGATAGGGTTTAAATTAATTTCTCCTTTCTCACCAGGGGAAACGAGGGCTGGGAAGAACGGCCGTGCCTGTTGCTTTGTTAAGCTCAGCTTTGGCTCTGATTCTGGCACCAAGAAAGGAAATAAAATACAGGGAAGGGGAGCTTTATGAAAGAGCTGTGGGTCTGCTCCCAAGTTGATAGGTTAAACCGTACAAAATACTGACTCTGAGGCTCTGCTGTAATATTTGTAAAAACAGCGTGGCAGCCCTGTTAAGGGCTATGAGTCACCCTGAGGGTGGTTCAGCTCTTTATAAGTAGTAGCACAACCTTCTGCTTCCATGAGAATGGGAGAGGGCGTTTTAATGGAGTCAGAATCCATTGGTTAGAACAGCGTCTGGCCTCTGCTTTGTTC